AGGTTAGTAATGTGAAGCTGAATGTGATCTGTGTTCATGTAATTCTAGATGTAATGTTTGAAGTTGTTATATTTTAATTTAGAAAATAGGGAACATACTCTAAAAATAAAAGAAGAAAAGAATTTAGGTTAACAGGAGTCACCAGTTATTTCTAATTGGGTGCAAATATGAGACATATATGTATCTTAAAACACTTGAAAATAGAATTAGATTCTAAAATATGGACAATCCTGAATATACGGAAGGGGAGGATTTTATTACTTTTTGTGAAAAAAATTGATTTGTAACCATATCCTTAATTTGTTATGAATGAAGCATTCAATAAGTATCGAATGCATGACTGCAATGTACAAGGTATTGTGCTAGGTAGTGTCCAGAAAGTGGGACTTAAATCTCTGGTTTTAAGGAAGTCATAGCCTAGCAAGGAAGTAAACATGCTCACAAACTATAGTAATATAGAAGTAAAAACTGTACTATGGGAGTACAGAGAAGGTAGATATCACTTGCACAATTTTATGAAACCAGTTTTATGAAAGAAATAGCATTTGAGTTGTGAGTTAAAGGATGGGTAGAATTTGACAGGTGGAGATTGTATGGATGAAGACAATATACAATCTTTATCCATTAAATTAAGAAATATGTTAACTTGGAAATGTTGCTTGGAAATATAAAACCTTAATTTTAAACTCTAAAGTAAACTCATGGATTACCAAAATTTCTAGAAATAAAGAACAAGAGAAAAATTAAATAGTAAATAAAACATGCCAAAAATGATACATGTGACAGAAAAATCTTAAGTTCACCGCTGACATATAGTAGTTGTCACAAGATTCCAGGGAAGAAAATGATTTATGAGTCACTATTGAAATCCTCAAGATCCCTAGAGTGTCTTATTGCTTCATTATTTTTAATTGGTTGGATTGATTAATCCGGGATTAGGAAACAGTGAGGCAGTTACTTGCTTTCATTTACAAATTAACATCCTTTCTTAGAAACCTATACAAAGAATTGTGTAACTCTTTGAAAAGGCACCAAAGGGATGAGATTGACATTATGCTGAAATGTATTCATTTAGATGTAAGTAAAATATATTGATGAAACCATATATATTTAGTTTATATGTGAAACAAAAATCTAGATTTTAAAAACTTTGACTTTCAGTTGTTCAACATTAAAAGAATACAAAATAAATTCTTCCTTTCATTTGTATGAGGTTATAGAATGCTTGTAAAATATGCATTTTGCTAGAAGTATACTATGTCTGTAATAATATAACGTCCCTTGTACACTATTATTTGTGCCAACTCTGAAAGTTGGTATAAGTGGACCAATGCTCCAATGTAAACTTTTTATCAATAGAATAATGAAGGAGACATGGACAATGTATTGGCTCTTGATGGTATTACCTTGGGGAATAATCAACAGCCACCAGAGATCTTTAGGAATAAGAGAATGAAGGCTTATGAGTAAGGAATCTGAATATCACAAAATGAGAACATCCATGCC